TTCTTACCTCCAAGGAAGAAGCCCCAGCAGCAACAGATTTTTCAGCCCAGGCAAGCTAAAAAAAACCCCTCTTTCTTATAATGGTAGCTCTTGGGGCCATTGAGCAGGCCTCCCTCCTCCCTCTGCCCAAGCCCCGCCCGCCCCCTTGATACAAGTTAGTCCGTGGGTTTGAGGCCTTCTTACCTCCGAGGAAGAAGCCCCAGCAGCAACAGATTTTCCAGCCCAGGCAAGCCCACTCCGCCCCTCCCTTTTTGTAATGGCTGCCGCTGTGTCCCCGCGGCCCAGCTGATGTAACCTCAGGGACCAGCACCGGGCCGCGGACCGGGGGTTGGGGAACTCTGAACTAAACGACGATGACACTCTGCTTTGGTTTCCTTTGAAATGAAGATTTTTAGGAAAACATGGTCACTCTCACCAGAGTTCCCCTTACTGCTGCTTCCTCCACCAAATCATCTCTATTGGTCAGAATCAAGTCAAGGATAGTTAGTCTTCTAGTTCTTTTCTCCACTTTTTGTAGGAGAATATTACCAGCCACACAAGCCAGGAATTTCTTGGAAGGGCCATACTTGGCAGATTTTGCCTCTCAACAGATGTCAGGATAATTGAAATTTTCCATCACTACTACATTGTGTCTCTTTGAAATCCTTGCAATTTGTTTTTCAAAAGTTGCATCCACTTCCTATCCTTGATTGGGCAGTGAGTAGTAGACACCAACTCCCCTGTTCCTGTTGTTTTTTGCCCCTATTATACGTAGTAATCCAAATGCTCTCAATAGGACAGACAATCTCCTCCTCCTGTATTTCTGTGCAGGAATGTGTATTTTTTATATATACTGCAACTCCACCTCCCTTTCTATTCTTTCTGTTCTTTTTGAACAATTTATATACTTTGGTTGCTGTATTCCAGTCATGAGAATCATCCCACTAAATTTCAGTTATCCCTCTAAAGTCACATTTATTTTCCTGAACAAAGATTTCCAGTTCTTCTTGTTTTTCCCCCCATACTCCTGGCCTTCATGTATAGATACCAGAGACAGTGTGATCTGTGGCCTACTTTTCTTTGTACATTTTTATGAATATGATTATTAATGTTAATGTTATTATTGGCTGCCATTAGAAATGTTTGGTTCATTTCTCTTATTGTATGTAAGGCTTCACCTATCTTTACCTCTGTGCTTGTGTCTCTCTCCTCCTTCCAGTTCAGTTTAAAGCCCTCCTGATGAATGTCTTCATGTTGTGGCTAAACATATTCTTCCCAGTCCTTGTGAGGTGTAAACCATCTCTTGCTAGCAGTCCATCTTCCAGGAAGCTTAGCCCATGGTCCAAAAACCAAATTCCTTATGTCAACATGAGCTTTGTAGTCAGTCATTCACCCAGAGTATTTTCCTTTCCTTTTCTATTTCTCTTCTGAGTCCTGGTAGGATGGATGAGAAAACTATCTGGACCTCATAGTCCTTGAGTTTTCTTCCTAGAGCTTCAAAGTCTGATGTGATCTCTTCAGAGTTGTTATTGGCTGTGTTGATTGTTCCTACAGAGATTAGAAGAAAGGGATATGTATCCATGGGTTTTATGAATGATGGCAATCCTTCTGTCACTTCCCTAATCTGTGCTTTAGGGAGACAGCATTCCTGGTGGGTCCATGGATTTTCCTGGCATACTTCATGAGAAGGCAAGGCTCACAAGAAAAAACAACAATGCTCAGAAAAGTTGAAGGCAGCAAAAAAAAGAGGAAGACTAAATATGTGATAGACTCCATAAAGAAAGCCAAGAGCTGAGCAGGGCTTTTGAGGACAGGAGATTTTAGAGATCAGTCATTATTTAGAGGCAACCTGAGAGCACATAAAAATGTTAATGTGATGATATGTACAAGCTCTCACTATTTACTGAGGCACTGGGGAGGGGAATTAAATCCAATTATCAATGGTACTGTGCAAGAGATGCTACTACCAGTTAATATAAATCTTTTCTAGTATTGCTGTTTATGCTTCTTGCAGAGTGAAGATCATGAGGTTTAGGTTATATTTATTGAGGCACTATCAAAATCCTGGAGTATGAGAGTGCTAGTGACAGACATATAACTCTGAAAAATAAATATCTATATCATGTGCAAATATCTATATCATAGTGTGATTGGAGGTTTACATATACATGAAAATATCTGTGTTAAAGCACATGTCTCACTAAAAGACTAATGAAGCTAACATGTTCTGCAAAACTGATACCGTATGATATTTCTACAAGTATTTTGTGAAGAAATTATTCTTCAGCCTTTTATTAAGCATCTTCTTTGATATTGGCCTCTTGCATAATTTTATCCATTTCTATTCAGTAAAGGTTTTAAGATTTATTCATATCCATGTCATTAGCTAAATTGACAGCACTCTGTATTTAAGATTATTTGGGCTGATGCTTCTAATTGTTCAGCTACAAGTAACAATGACATGCTCAAAAAATGCAGCAATTGCCTGAGAAAGCTTGAGATTGGTTTGGTTCAGTCTCTACTACTGTTGATCTTTAATTTTAAGTCACATATAGGTCACTGAGCTTATTTTAATTGCTTGTCTTGTACCTTTAAATAACTCATTTTGTCATTTTGATCAGTTTGTCATAATGCTTAACTATGAAAAAGACATAGGCATTTGTCTGCTTAGATAGATATCAAGGTTCTGTATAGGAGGCTAAAGTGCCTCCTTCTGTTTCTGAATTACTCAAAAGAAGTCTTCTCAGGAAAGGAACACTGTCCCAGACTCACCTCTCTGGCTCGCAGTAGGATAGCAACATGTTTTGCTGGAAAATCTGTCATTCAATCCAAATGCCTCTCTTTTCTCTGGCTTAGGAAATGATTAGGGGAGCAGACCCTATTTATGGAGCTGCTTGGCTTTTGGACTTCCAGCTGTTGACCCTCCTATATAACACACAGAAAAAAAATATTTACTAATAAGCAGTAAGGAGATTCTTTTCATTCGTGACTTAGTATTTCATATTCTTGCCCAGGTTCAGCAGGTGGACAGAAGGGTTTTCTGGGCTGCATTCGCTCCCTAAGGATGAATGGATTAACACTGGATTTAGAAGAGAGAGCAAAAGTCACATCAGGTGTAAAGCCTGGTTGTTCAGGCCATTGCACAAGCTTTGAAATGTACTGCAAGAATGGGGGCAAATGTGTTGAAAAATACAATGGATACTCATGTGACTGCTCCAGAACTGCATATGATGGCCCCTTCTGCATAAAAGGTAAGAATCTAACAATGCAGCCCTATGTCTGCCTACTCATATATATGTATCTCAGTGGCCCTTGCTTCAGGGACACTAGGATATGATTTCAGACTAAATATAATAATTGCAGACTAAATATAATAGAGATTGTGCATCACCTTTTGTAGACATACACTGTTCTATTCCTTATTCTAGGTTTTCTTCATGAGAAGACGGGGCACTTGGAATTCTTGGCAGAATTCCATAAAAATCTTTTCCTGGAGTGTATGGGATCAGGTTACAAGTGAGTGCAGGGACAGAAGCATGTTTTCAGCATCCAGCAATGAAAATGCAACCTTGTAAATGAGAGAAGGTGGGCTGAACATTAGCCAGCATAGCTAGTGGTGAGAAATGACTGGATATGAAGTCCAGCAATGTCTGAAGAGCCGGAAGTTCTCCAAAAATTCTTTATTAGTGCCAATTTGCTGAATTATCTCTCTACTGAACAACTAGTGAAATTGTGCACAAATATATTCTAAGAGCTACATTAACACTTGGAAAGGTGGAGTAGAACCACCTCTTGAGATGGAGTGAGACATGACCTGAGCTTGGCAAAGGCATTTCATCACCTAGACAATTTCATCTATGAACACCTTACAGAAATTATGGGGGAAAACAGTGATATGTTTCTCAGCTTCAGTTCTTATCTCTGCATCAGGTAGACAGCATAAGTTGACTATGACTTTGAACCTGCCATATACTGATTGGTATGTGTGGTGTCTACGCAGGTCATGAATATTCATATGCCATTTGCATAGACCAATGGGAGTGCTGGAGAGGGGGCAGAGTCACGAGATTTAAGAGTCTCAGCAGGAAGAGGGAGAGTTTAGGGAGATAGACAGGGAGAGAGTTAAATAGAGAGATAGGGAGTTAGAGTTGAAGAGATTGAAAGTTTTGGAGTTTGGGTGGGAAAGTGGTGGTTGAGAGTGGATAAAGGAGAATGTTTCTTTAAGTGTTAACAACATTGCAACATTCTATCAACAATTTCTATTTGATGCTTTTAAAATAACATATGGCCTGGACCTTGATTATTAATAATAGATATTGTTGAAGAAATCAACTGGTGGCAGCTGAGGGGCACATAGCATGAGCTCCTAGTTTGATGAAACAAGCAGGGGCCACGTGGGAATCATGACAGTATGCTGCCCTGCATTTTTGTAAGGCAACAGACAATTGATCTAAAATGACATTGAAAGTTCCACATCTGAATTCATCTTGAGGAAAAGACAACTCCTCTGAGACTGATGTTGGATTCACTTCAAATTGTTTTCTTTCTTGGCCTCCCTGTAGTTGCTTTGTAGTCTGTGCATCCAATTCCAACTCTTCATACCTATCCCAAAGTGATTTTAGAAACTTATCCAGAGAATAAATGAGGTCCACCACTTGTTTCATGTCATCATCAACTCCTTGAATACCTTTTTGTGTGCTGTTGAACTGATCAAGAATTAAGTTCCAGATTAAAGTCATCAGAGCATTGCCCACCCAATCCCGGAATAAAGACGTGAGACAAAATTATTGGATTAAATGTGGGCCACACTTTATTGAAAAGAAGCTGTATTTGTCATCAATAGGCCAAATATAAGGGGCTTGCTGTAGTGCAGTAAAAAGGTGACAGGTAGGGGTAACCAATACCCCTTGATCATAAATTGGGCGAGTCCCCGACCCCAGGTTCCAGTGGTTACCAGACAGCAGGAATCCGCCTGGCCGCTAATTAAACACCCCCAGACCTTGACATTTTTTCTTGATGACTGTTGGTCCAGAAGTGGCCCAGCGCATCCTTCCCACACTGGCCTGTAATCACATGATCTTAAGAGCCGGAGGTCAGATGTGCTGTTGGCTTAACTGAAATTACAAATGGGACACACTGAAAATACCTGTTTTTCCACACTACCCGCCACAGCATAGGGACTAACCTAGCTAAGTCCCATGCCCACCACAGAGCCTCTAAGCTCAGGAAGCAGGCCCCTTTAAATATCTTCCAGAAATATGTCCAAACCTGCATCAGACAGGTGGACACCATCACTGCGAAGCAAAGCGACATAGCACTATTGGATCCTGTGGTGACAATTCACCGATCCAAGGCCACCAATGCAGACACCTCTACATACTTCTTGGTTAACACGCCACCGGGGTCATGTTAACATCAACAATGCTCCGGGCGCCCCAACAGGCTAGCTGCAGAATGATTGTGAACCACACGATCAGCATAGCAGGAGCACAAGGCAAACCGTTGCTGCCCGAATGCATCAGCAAGACATCTGGAGGGGACTGGTCAAATGCCATTAGCCATGTAAGCTGGATCCATAGCAAGCCACGCACGCCTCTCAAGTAAGCATGAGCATGGGCACCAAGCCCCAAGAGCAGTCCCCAAGTGGGACTTGGCCACACAAGGTTCTGCCCAATAACAAAGCCATGGCAGACGATCATAACGTGTCTTCGACCTCCAGTCCCTACAGTACCTGAAATGACATAATAGCCCTGCCTACACATTAGATAGGGGTCTGATATACCATTGATAGCTAGATGAGGACCAACGTTCCAAGTGCTTAATTTGCTCTGTACTGTATGCAGGAGCAGCCACTGTGGATGCTGCTCCAATTCTAAAAGAATGTGTCCCAGATCTCAAAACCCCCAATGCCTATTCTGTCCAATGCCAGGACCGTGAACATCTGAAATTGATATCTCGGTAATGGTGACTTGTCTGCATGCTGTAAAAGTATCCAGGCCCTTGACCTGACACTCCATGAACAGTTGGGTGGTGTTGACAGGACAACTTCTCCTAATGCCACATTCCCCACCACCAACAACAATCTCCCTTTGCCTTATCAGGTCGGTCTTTGATCGCCTAATTATAATATTTAAACTGTTGTCCTGGATCATAACGTCATCCCGCTGCAGTGCATATCTAGAGGTGTCTGCCTTTCCAGCTGCAGCCAATGCACTGACCCGAAGAGCTCTAAAAAGGGGGTTATAGAAGCAACTGCCTTAAACAAAGGCACTTCATATTGGTCCCTACTTTCCCGTTGATCACATAGTTGTTTGAGAAGGAGTGGGGAGATAGGTCCTGGAAAAGACCAGCGCCAGCAGTCTACCCTTTATGGTGCTTGGCGCAAGCTCCTTTATATAGAGAAAAACTATAAATTGTTGTAATTGTTCTACATGAACCAGCCATAATTGCTCCAGCTCCGTGGAAGCCCTCATGGCATGTAATTAGATAACCCTTCCTAGTCCTAGGAGCTAATGCCCTACCTGTTGCTCTCAATGCTTAGTCACTCCAATCTGCCGCATGAGCATATCTTCCCCCATACCTTAGTCATTCTAGTCCTGTGCATTAGTTGTTTAAGACCCCTTATAGCGGCACAAAGACACCGAACAAAAGCCTGACCTGGAGCCACTATTCTACAAGTGTATTTTAAATGTCCCACTATCTCCTGTAGCCTATGAAGAGCTGCCTTTTTCTTACCTAACAACTCACTAATTCTGGCTCTGAGATCAGCCGATTTCTTATGAGGTGGTCTAGAAGTTTGTTGGATAGAATCCAACTCAATACCAAGAAAGGTTAAGGACATGGCCGGGCCCTCAATAGATGTACTAAACTTTTCAAAAACAGCACATGAAATCGAGCATCCCAAAGGTAATGCTCTGTCAATGTAAAACAATCCTTGAAACTGAAAGTCTAATAGATTAAAGTCAAGGGGGTGGACAGGCAAAATCCTAAAGGCTGGTTCAACCTCACGTCTTTCCAGCACCCCCCCCCCAATTCCGCAAGCCCTAACCATTTGGACGGCTTCATCAAAAAAATTGTATTTAACCACATGCAATTCCGGGGTAATGGCGTCTTTAACTGACACCCCTTCCGGGAAAGACAAATGATGGTTCAAGTGAAACTCCCCTGGGGCCTTTTTTGGGAACTATACCTAATGGAGAAACTCTCAAATTCACCAAAGGCAAATTGGGAAAGGGGCCCAGGACCCAGTCCTCTTTGACTTCTTTATTAATTTTATTCAACACAATGTTCTTCATATGTCTAACGGACCGGAGGTTACTCGCCATGAAGGCTGTACGTTCCCCTAAAGCAGGGATACGAATGCCATAACAAAAACCCTGATTCAGGTATAGGGCATCATCGTCCCGAGAGTATGTCTGCAGCCAAACCTCTAACACCCCAATTTTAATTGGGGTGGAACCCCTAACCAGCGGTACTGCCACCCCCATTGGGTGTCTTTTCACCTCCCGATCCTTTATTCTGGTGCCGAACTCCTGCTTTAAAACAATTGGACTTTTGGTGTTTCCCTGCACCATTAAAGCATTTGTGACTGAACTATACAAGGGTTTACTTAAAGTCAAAGCAAAGCAGGTGAGTTTGAACCGCTCGCCCCGCATGAGGGCAGGGAGTAACCGAGCCAGCCAATTTCCTATTCAAATTGCCACTGTAAATTCCATCTCCAGTGTTAAGTCTAGCCAGAGTCATATGTTATAACCTGAGACCTGGCTGCAGTCCAACACAGCATAAGTTGTTTGTTTGTTTGTTTATCTTATATGCCGCCCATTTAGACATAGTCTATTCTGGGCAGCTCACAAACGCGTAATAAAAACAATATAAAGTAACTGTTTCCTACATCAACACAAAACAGAATAGATAAAGAAAGAGAGAGAATTACGTAGAGTCTGGAGGGAAGGCCTGCCCATATAACCAGGTCTTGAGTTGGTTTTTGAAAATGCCCAGCGAAGGGGCCAGATGAATCTCGGGGGGGGGAGCACATTCCAAAGCCTGGGAGCCACTGCCGAGAAAGCCTGGTGTCTTGTTTTTTCTTTCCAGGCCTCCCTTGGAGTTAGGCTCCTCAGTCACCTCTCCCAGCTAGATCAGGTGATACGAGTAGATCTAGCTGGGAGGAGGCGTTCCACCAAGTATTGAGGTAGTAAACCGTTTAGAGCTTTGTATGTTATCATTAGAACTTTAGAATCGCTTTGGATCATTA